AAGGGAAGGGGAAGGGGAAAGGGAAGGGGCCGGCCATGCCCTCCCCCCGGGAGGGAGATGCTCTGCAAAAGGATGCTCCCGGGAGGCAGGCACCAAACTTCTCCGTTCCCCTGTGCTAGGAAGGGGTCTGGGAGCTTTATCTGGTTCAACACCCCAGTTCAATCTCCTCTTGGAGCGGGGACATCCATTCCCTCTCCTGTTTTGCCTTGTCACTGCGCTGCCAGCCTGGGGAGGGACAAGTCACCCAGCCTAGGAAGCCTGCAGAAAGCCGGCTCAAACAAGGTACCAAAAGTCTGAGCCAGCCCAGGGAGGGCAGGAATAACGCTGCCACACACCCCCCAGCATCTCCCACTTGCTCTCCAAATGACAGATTTGACTTGCTTGGCCTCCAGCGCAGAGCACAAGTGCAAAGTAAAGCAGCGACCCTGCTCAGGCATCGGCGGCTAGGAGAGCCGGCAGCCCAAGCTCTGCTCCTCGAGGAAGCAGAGAAACATCTGTCTCCTATATGAGTCCCTCCCTCGGCCTCCATAAGAACACAACAAGATGAAAAGAGCAAAAGACTTCAGTTTTCTAATTCAGCCCTCTCTCCACATGTCTGAAGAGGGTGCTACAGTGAATCCCACCTTATGTGCATGGTTAGAGCTAATAATTCAGATATGTCCAAGGCTGCCAATCTTTTCTGGAAATATCTACCATTGCTGCCAGGATCAGGAGAGGTGTGTTTTTTTTTTTTCCCCAAAACAAATTTGGTGAGCTTTAAGCAGCTGGCCAGCCCCATCTTGGCTACAGGGTCACTTTGTGCTCCTACATGTTCTCATCTAGCCCACAGCTGTGCTAAGAGGCTTTGCTGGAACAAGTGCTCCCTCCGCACCCACCTCCCCTTCCCTCCTCAGCAGAAAACAAGGGGGAAACTCTCATTCTTCACAAACAAGTCATTGAGAAGCAGACTTCCCCAGCAATTGCTTGCGTTACCTTTTCTAAGAAGCTGTCTTCTCCCTGAGAGCAGTGGGAAAGAGAGAAGAGGGAAAAGTATCGTTAAGAGAGAGAATGCAATCTCAGATTAAGCAGAAACCTAATTTGCATTACAAGAACCCACTGAATGCCAGGTCCCTCACACATTTTGCTGACATGGCCAAAGTTAAACCTGCGGTGAGAGATTTGCCTGCCAATTAGCAAAAAATCCCGCTCACATGATGCACAACCTTGTCAGGGTTTCTACAAACTCCTCAAAGGGGCCGTGCAACAGCACTGTTCGCTACCTAGCAAACGGCCAGGCCACAGGCAGATGAGAGGTGTCCACCAGGAAGAAGCTCCCCTTCTTGAATCTTCCTGGTCAGAAATAAATATCCCTGTGTTATTTCAGCCATCTTCCCTCGTGACCAGGCCAGAGATAAAACATTCACTAGGCTAAATCTGTATTTCTGAGTGTGTGGCAGCTGTGGAGCTAACAGGCCCCCTAAGCAGCTTTGTGTATAGTCAGGGAAATGAGTGTTTGTGCTCAAAACCCCAGGCTGCTCGTCTGTCTCAACCTAATAGCATTAACACGCTGCAAGGAGGAGCATGCCAAAGCCCCCTCCAGGCTGCATGTCCAATCCCTCCGGCGATCCTGAAACAGCATCCCTTTACCAGCGCACTGCGGGCTGGCAGCGTAAGACACTGTTTAGTGGAGTCCGCAGGAGGAAACAGAAGCAGGTTGCCCAAGCTGAGTTTGGGCGGATCGATCCTTCAGGGTCGGAGCAACCGAAACGCATTCAAGGGCTGAGCTGGAAACATAGCTGCAGCCTGGGAGGGAGCAGCATCTCAGCCTCCCCTGCGACTTCTGCAGCGCCTGCTTCCTTTGGAGGCTCACCAAGTTTTAACACAGCCACAACAGACCGGCCTCTTGCCGAGAACAGCTTGCTCCAAACACGAGCCGGTGCAGGTTCTTCTTCCAAGGCACAGGGGGAGGGACGGCAGTCACAGGTTTGGGATGCCAGATAGCCACAGGAGAGAGGCTCCTTTCGTAACTGGGTGAGTCATCTCGACAGCCTCGCTACCACCTACCTGACTGCCCGCCCTGCTCTTCGCCTCTCTTCCTGCAGTGTTCAGCACGATCAGCTCTGTGAGAGTAACCTGCTCCTGAACAAGGACTCTTCAAGAGGCTTTTCAAAGCCCACAGTAGGATCCCAAGAAAAAAATAGGATAAGATACTAATACCGAAATCCTAAAGGCGAGATGCTGAAGTGTCAGCAGCTTCTCCCAGGAGAACGAGGAGAGCCATTTCCAAAGAGGCTCCCACCTACACTTTGCTATCCTGCATCAAACTGCCTCTCAGACCCTTACTGACCTGCATTCTCCAGATCTCCCTTTGCTGAAGTCTAGCCAGGCTGAGAAAAATGCTTGATGCAGTGAGTGACAAGCCCTAACACTACATAAGTGCAGGAGGGAAAATGGTTCTTAATACACAAACACAGTGTCTTCCTCACTTGCCTAAACCTCAGCTAAAGACACGTAACGGGGCCAAAATGCTTCTGGGCTGCAGAGCGGTGAGCACGTGCACTGCTCTCCCTTGCAGAAAAGTGCTCAGCTCGTCCTGTCTCCAAGAATTTCTCAACTCACAGGTATGATCAAAACCAAAAGACCTAAAATAGCTCTAACACAACAGTAGCTTTACAATCTAAGTGACTAAATTTTGCTTTGGGCCGTTACACATCGTATTCTTTGAGTTTGCTTAACATGTTCCGATGGAAGTACTGCAGTCAGACTGACCTCGCTGACACAAGAGACTGTTCTTTTGCTGCAGATACTGGGACGGGGTGCTCTTCTCTGATTGTTTTGCTTCCTCTACTTCTGTATGTTTCACTGAACAACAGAAGAAGGAAACCTATAGTTAAAGGAAGCAGAAGCCTCAGAGGACTCTTAGAAAAATAACAGTGAGTGTCGTGAGGGCAGAAGCTAAAAGTCTGGGCCTGAGCTCTTACCTATCAAGCAAGAAGTCAGTGCTCAGCACTGGGCAGCAAAAAGCAGGTGGAAAAGCCACCAAGACCGATGAAATGCTCCAGACCAAGTTCAACACATTTCTAGAAGACTACCAACTTTCAGTTGAATCCTGAAAAGTATAAGGAGCCTGAGGCTTGGATTAGCTGCTTGAATTGAGGAGGCAAACACTATATCTTGCCACCCGGATTCTGCTTAGCCTGATCTTCTGATTACAAATCAAAATTCGGGTATAAAAACAGCCTTTCTGTATGTTGGGCCTGTGAGAAAAGCAGACACCTACAACAAAAGGTGGGAACTGGAAGAGGCAGCAGAGGCACCGTGCAACTGCTAAAGGGAAGAGAAAGAAATGTAAGCAGACGGGAGTGGAAGCTGTTGAATCTACAGATGTGAAAAAGCAGCAGCTTGTCACTGGACACAAAAAACAAAAAAATGCACGTAAGGATGAGACTGCAAGATGTGAGAAGAGAGGAAAGGTATCACATGTCAGACGAAAAGAACTGGGCTAATCCTTCAGGTGAACAAAAAAAAAAAAAAGGCTTTCCTGGCTAAACAAGAATGGGTCAATAGACTAAAACTCAGGAACTGCTAAACCTCACCGAAGCACGGCTGGGAAAGGCCATCAGAATACAGGAATGAACACAGGCTGAAAAGAAGAATTAAGATCCCCAAAATGGGGCTTAATCTCAGAAACAGCCATGAGATTCCAAAAAGACAAAAGGTGACTGTGCTGGTTTTGGCCGGGTTATTTTTCTTCACAGTAGCTGGTATGGGGCTGTGTTTTGGATTTGTGCTGGAAACAGCGTTGATAACCCAGGGATGTTTTCGCTACTGCTGAGCAGGGCTTACCCAGCCCTGCGGAGCAGGGCTCACCCAGAGCCAAGGCCTTTTCTGCCTCTCACCCCACCCCACCAGTGAGTGGGCTGGGGGGGGCCCAAGGAGCTGGGAGGGGACACAGCCAGGACAGCTGACCCCAATGACCCAAGGGATATTCCACACCATACGACATCACGCTCAGCCTATAGAGCTGGGGGAAGGAGGAGGAAGGGGGGGATGTTCAGAGTGATGGCGTTTTTCTTCCCAAGTCACCATTATGCGTGATGGAGCCCTGCTTTCCTGGAGATGGCTGAACACCTGTCTGCCGATGGGAAGCAGTGAATGAGCTCCTTGTTTTGCTTTGCTTGTGTGCGTGGCTTTTGCTTTACCTATTAAACTGTCTTTATCTCAACCCATGAGTTTTCTCACTTTTACCCTTCCGATTCTCTCCCCTATCCCTCTGTGGGGGGAGTGAGTGAGCAACTGCATGGGGCTTAGTTGCTGGCTGGGGTTAAACCACGACAGTGGCTAGGGCACCGTTGCCCCCCTTCACGCACACCCAAGTGGCTTCAGAAGGAGGAATATTGGTGCTAGGGGCTGGTGAAGCTTGGGGAGAGGAGCAGTGATCTCTGCACCACAGAAGAGCTTGCTCACTGTGGTCAGTGTGAGAAGAACTGGCCAGAGAGGCTGCGAGACTGGCCGTTTGCTGAGCTGTACTCATCAGTACACCTAGCAGCACCAAAGGCCTTTCTTCAGTCCTCCTGCTTCTGCTTGTTCCTTCCCCTGAGCAGTGTGAACGCCACAAGCCTCCGGAAGGAAAAGGATCCTGGAACTCTCATGACTGCAGAAGCAGCCTAGGCACCTTGGAGGAGAGCGTTTCAATCATCCCTCTTACGACATGCCAGTGCCACCCAGCTGAGCCTGCCAGCACCAACATGACAGTAACACAAGGTGCTGGGATCACTTTTTTGTCCCACCAAACAATATTTAGAACCTACTCAGAATAGAGGATAAAGTACACGCTGTCAAAAGCCATTGGTTGTGGTAGAGGGAAATAATAAAAGAGCACCTCAAGTTCTGGAAAAAATAAATCAGCTCAGAGTCAGCACAGCTGACCCAAGCTGAAGGCATTACCCCTGATTTTAGGAGTAAAGAGAAGGGAATATGCTCTCTCCCTGTTAAAAGAGCTGCTCCAGAACACTGCTACTCACCAAGTCAATGAGTTTGGTGACTGGAACTTCTCGGATAGGTCGTCTCATTCGGCATAAGGCCTCCAGGGAAGTGCCAAAGCAGCTGGGCAGGTAGGTCCCACTGATGGTAAGGAAATAGTCCTTCCCTCGGTCCAAGTGAAGGACAAGAATATCCTCAATTTTATCCTCGCCAGAGTTCAGAAGGGTTACTGAGTCCTTACTGACGTACACGTCCAGGGAGATGTCCGTGCTCTCATCTGCAAGAGACAGGAGCTCTCAAGAACACATAGATGGTCTCCAAAAGGGATGCCAAGGACAAACATACAGTGGCAGGGACAAAGACCACAAAACTGAGAAGACAAACAGACAAGGATGATGGCAAGAAAGGCGAGAGACAGGAAAGACGGGAAGGACTGAATGGAGATGAGGTGGCAGTCTACACCAGTACACACTGTAGAATCTGTGGTAAAACTCACCTGGCTCCAAGTAACCTTCACAAGGCTCAGCCCGGAGCCATGGCTTACAGTAGTGGCTATCGTTGAGCTTTGGGATGAAGGAGAAGTGACAGGTCACCTGTCCATTATTGGTGATCTGGAACTTCTGCTTCTGCAGCTGACGGAACTTCACATTCTCAAACTCGAACTGCAGAGCAAAGAGAAAACATAAATCACGCTAGTGGCCATGATGGGACACATAGCTAGGCACCCAGCCTCTGCAGCGGCAACCCATGACTGAGAAGTGCCCACACAACACAGAAGGCCTGCCAAGAAGCCAAGACAAGATGTCCCTTCTAATCCAATTCCTGATCATAAGATAATGGATAAAGTTCAATTTTCTATAACCCAGTTTACGGAATCAAAGTCTTTAAGAGTAGCTCTAGCACTTCTAAGGCTGCTGTGTTTGGGAAGTGGACAGTGAGTCAGGTTTCATCCTCACCTCTCTCCTGCTTAGCTCCAGCGAAGGAAGAAAGTCATTCTCCATTCTGTCCATTATACGAACAATGTCTTCAAACAACTTCCGATACTTCTGCTCATCCACAACCTTTACCTGTGGAAGATCAGAAAATACTCAGCAAAGTTTCTGAGTAGCTTCACAGGAACTCTTTTGATCATGAGTAAACTGCAGAAGTGAAACATTTCTCTAAGCACTTGCTATCTGCAGCTGAAAGGCTAAGAGAATTTGCATGCATGGGTGCACCTCCAAGCTGCGTATGTAACTTCACACCTATTTTACCCCTACAGATGTTACTAGGGTCTTTCTGGCCACTGATCACACTACTCGGGGAGATTAATGGGGGAGATCTCCGTGGGACAGCATTGACATCCCGCAGCATTACTCATGATTCTCCAGAGGAAGAGAAGAAAGGCTGTCCTTTAAGGAGACTTGAGCTACCTAGGGAGCAGGAGGTAGCAAAAATGGACACGGACCGTCTCTATTCAGTAAGCTAGGAAACTCCAATCTGCTGCCAGTCATTCACCACCAAAGAACTCCGGATGTGAACCACTGGCACTCTCTCTTAACACATCAGAGGCAATATTGCAACAGCAGGCACAACTATTTACAGTTTTCTGCTGTGTCTCATTGTGGAGGAGAGAAAACAGTAGCTCACCCATTCTAGTGCCACTACCCCAGAAGCTAAGCAGCGTCATTAAAGCAGTCAATGAGAATGCCTTTCTATTTACTACGTGACCACACCTGCTTGAGTAAACTCCAGCGATCACCTGCATCACTGTGACATAACACTGTCTGGGTGCAGACAGCTAAGTTGCATTGCACATGAAGACCAGAGCTGCTGAGTTGTTTGCTAAGCAGAGGCTGGCACGGCTGCCAAACAGCAGCGCACCTACACAGTGGATGCACCTTGTTTTTATTTACTCTATCCTCTCGCAACAGCATTAGGAGGGGTGCCTGGACTATATAACCACCTCCCAAAGCAATGCATGACAATATTGTGATCCTACCCTAGCATACAAAAAAAGTTACCCCGATGCGGAAAAGCGCGCTGACTGGCTTGTGGTCACTAGTCTTCAGGTCCATATGACTGCAATACCGGAGCTGATTTATGTTCCCTCCTCTCCAAAGGATTCGATCACACCATGCTGGCACACGACATTTTCCACTACAAACAAAAACAGGTTACCAGGGAAATCCAACAATCCTAATAAACCATCCAAGCCGTTCCTCCTCCCAGCCAGGCAGCTGCCGCCACTGCCACCATCAATGACTGCATCAGCAGTGACAGGATGAACTCCCATCACTTCCCTCAACTTGAATATTACATTATTTCTTCTGCTCTCTTCCCCTTTCCCTATACAGTAGCTAAACCTCCCGTCCTTTCCAGCACCAGAAAACAAAATAACCTCAAACAAGGCTGTTTCCACAGCCTGAAGCCGTGTGTACTGTGACCCAAGCTGCACCAGTTTCTTTTGCTGTCAGATCTTTCTGCCCACTACAATCTGATCCATCGCTTATTTCCACTATGGAAAGTCTACTCAGCTATTACTATCACGTTATGAAGTCTGAATCCTGGGTTATCCTTCTCCAGATTAACTACTGTGCTGATTCATAAACACAGGCAGAGTAAAATCCAATCACTGTATGGTCTGAAACTCCTTCTTGGGAGTTCCTCCGTTTAGAGTAAGCTTCTGCAGCAGATGCATAAATGTCTGTGGGAGGCACCAAGCAGAGAGCAGCAAGTAGGAACCACTGCTGCTACCGCAGCATAGCCACCCCTGCGGCTGTGCAAGTCAGGGGACAGGATGACTCAGAGAGAGTGTTTCCTTATCTCTTCAATTCCTTTTATATTATTGTCTGTCCCTGTTAGCAGAAAAAGCCCTCCACTGCAGGGCCACCCGTGAGGTCAGGCTTTACGTGGCTTCATCGACCGGAATCAGCAGCAACTGAGGTTTAAGGCACGTGCCTGGTCAATGTATACAGGGTCTGCTTATTTCAGAAAGTAGGGGAAATGAAGGAGCACAAACATGTCTGTGCACTCCAGCCACACCATAACACTGAGAGGTATTTCCAGCTCTAGGAAGCAGGAAATCAAGTTTTGTGAGAAAATGCTTTTTATGTCATAGGTAAATATATCCATTGGCAGCTGATTTACCTGGAGTCCCAGCGATCTGTTTTAGAGTCATATTTATACGTGGGGATGAATTTAATCTCTCCCTCAGTGAAATCTGCAAATGCTTTCTTTTGAGTCCGCTGAATATTCAGCTAAAGCAGAAAAAGAACACTTAAAAAAACCAAAACCCACAAGCCACCCCAGACACGCCCCCCGCCCCCCAGCACATCTACAGGCAGAGCAATTGCAGCCTGTGGCCATGGGATTCACCAGACATCCCCCAAACTGCCTCTCAGACCTTATACCTTTAACAGAGGTAAAAATTCAACACATCAGTGGAATGTTTCCTAAACAGACTGAATACAAATTGGCACAGTGCTGCTTACCAGACCATGCAGACAGCATAAAACAGTAGTTAAGGGAAATATTAATTGCTCCACTTGTGCTAAATGCCTTTATTAGTTTTCAGGCTTAAGCAACACCATCATTAATATTTCGCTGCCAATCATTTTAGCAAAAGCCTCCATGAGTGTGCTTGGCTGACAACCTGACGCTACCTTCCTTTTCTCATTTACTCTTCTGAAAAATTTCCTAGTTGTTTTCCTGACAAAAATCTAAGCTACAGTTGTTTTCTGCGTGAAGCTCTGCAGTACAGCGGAAATGAGCTACAGAAGAGAATCAATTAGATTTACCGTTAAATTGTGTGTCAGAGATGATATTACACTATTTCTGTTCATGTTTCACAGGTACAGTCCTTCACCTTAAAGGCACATCTGGTGCTGTCTCGCTTTTCAGAGTGCTGCAAAGAAATGCTGAGCGAGGAAGACTACAGCACAGAATTTAGGTCAAACTGGCTGAGCAGAGAGCCTTGGCTACAAGCGCTGGTCTCCAAATCAATATCTCTTCCAGGACACTCATTACAGCAGCCTCTTTTGCTGTTACAAATTCCCACGTTCTAGCTTGTAGTTTGTATGTAAGAGAGAACTCTTCCCATGAGATGTAAAGACACTTCCATGGTAATTGCCCAAGTCATCCAGTTAACCCTGGTATAATGTACCATTTATTTTTGTTTAGGGAGTTGATGTCACCAGGACACCCAGAGCTCTGTCTAGGGTCTAGCATCTACGTCTGTCGACACTTATCGCAGAGTGTCTGCCAGCCCCTCCCAAGCACAGGCACATCTTAAAGCAAGATGACCTCACAAGTATGGAGCAAACGTAAGAGGAGTTCACTGACCTGGTCATATGTCAGCAGTTTCTGAAGCTCATTCTTACTGATAAGACTTTTCACTTCACTGGCATCAGGGAGACAAAGCCTGTAGTTCAAGTCTCCTAGCCAGATGACAACACTGGAAACAAAGACAAACATGGAAAAGAAGAGGCACTAGTTAGTATCGCAGGCCACATGGGGAAGAAGGGGCACAGGAGAAAAGATGGTTGGATGCTGGTGATTAAGGTTGAGACACATGGAAGAGAAAAGGAGACGTGAAAGATTGAGTCTGACAGCAGAAATTTCTAGTGGCAGCAGATACTACAATACTAAGTGCATCTCCTTTGGAATCCCACAAGGGATTGAAGATTTAGTTTAATGGGAGATTCTTGAGTTTGCCTCAATCAGAAAAATGCCTGAGAACACCACCAACTCTCTAATGAAGTCAAACCAGCTATCTCACCAAGCTTCATAACCTCTCGAGCTACAAAATTCATCTAGTAGTCAGGCTCTTGTTGTGTACAGAAGAGGGCAATGACAGAGCTCGCTAAGCAGAGCCTGCTTGTCAACCAGTTCGGCAGGCTGATGTGCATGTACCTGCGGGCTCACACCTCGTGTGATACCACAGTTGGACCAGTTTGTCTTCTACTGCCTTTCAACCAGATCAGGCCACTACTGCATCACCTACCTAGCAAAGACTGACTGATGCAGAATTGGCAAAAATTTTCCTGCTGAGTTTATGACCTCCAGAATGTTGTTGTCCTATCTCACCCATCAGCCAAAACTCATCAGCACCTGCTCTTACTCTGCTCCTCTCTGGGCTTTCAAACCGCCTACAGCCTTCTCATTACCAGCAGCTAAGGAAACACTGGTGGTATTCACTCTTTATTGCATAAAGGTTTCATTTAAAGATTAAAATCTAAACCCCTCTCTAGTATCAAAGCTCTTCCTGTTTATAGTCAAATCTCAAATTTTCCATTAGTGGATTAGCAAGGATAATCTAACACTAAGTTTTTTCTGTACTAATCTACTCTACATTTTATTTTCAGTTTTTAAATGGTTTAAACATTAACTATAGAAGTATTAACCATTTGTATCAGGTTTAAGACAACTTGATTTATATGCTTTGTTGTTCACATCTTTGAGTTTGATTTGGATTATCCAGTATCACTGTCACCTCATTAAAAATAGTAATAATTAAAAGAAAAAAAATCAAGTATTGCCTGCATATCATCCAATTTATTTAAAAAGAAACTGAAACAGCAATTGTAAGCACTTGTTACTCCAAAAAGCCAAAACAGTATAGCCTTTGCCCATCCTGCTATCCTTTTTCTTCCCCTACTCATACTCTCATTTCCCATCACAAAAACCCCTCTGTTTCTTCAAGTTCTGTAATGTTCAGCCATTGACGCAGGAACGGTGCCTGCTGAAATGAAAGTATTATACACAACACGCAAGAAAAGAGCTGTTAGAAACAGGTTGCACAAGTCACCGCAGTGAGAAGGTGACCAAGCTCTAGCACACCAGAGGCCTTGGCACTTTCAGTTATATTATTAAGCCAGAAAACAAAACTCATCTGCACGAAATCTCCTGTTGCTGTGGTTCTGACTCAATTTGGAGTATTCAATACCACTTCAAAGGGGTAAACATCAAAATAAACTTACTCGTGTTTCGTGATGTTGAGCTGAGGTAGACTATCATCAGGGGTTACAAAACTCATCCGAGCACAGATATCCTTATAATCCTGATTTCGTCGCTCGAAGTCCTCCACGTGAGCAGCGAGGTGGGAATTGACAATGCAGAAGGTCGTGTTGTGGAACACGAACCTCACCGCCACACCGCCTTTGTTGCCCTGGGGAGAGCAGGGACCAGCGGTCGTTAGAGAAGGCGGCAGGTGAGGCACCAGGGCGGAGATGGGGACGGTACAGGCAGGTGAACAAAACCAGACTGTGCCGTTTCTTGCATGGATACAGGGAAGCAACAAATTGGCCTCGGTGACTCACCATCTTTCCCATGATTCCCGTGCCCACAGACTCCGTCATGATCTCTCTGATATTGCTCAGCTGATTCTTCTTAGCGAATATGAGCAACATCATCCCAACCAGACGGACCATTTGCACCTGCAAAAATAAAAGGGATCCCAGAAAGAATTCCCAGAAAGGCAGCGAAAATGCAGTTCTGATTTGCCTGCTCCACCTGATGTTCTGCTTCTCCGGCTCTCCCCATTCCTCATCATGTTTTAAACTCAATCCCTGCTTGCAACACCACCCAAAAGACCTCCTGTCCCAAAGCAAGGTTCTGGAGGACATTCTGCCATCCCCCAGCAGCCACCAGCTGTGCTAAGCTCACTACATTCCCCACTCTGGTGCTTCCCTACGAACAGGGCTGTCTTGCGAGGTAACAGAAACTTAATAAACACGTAGCAGATCTGTTTGTGACGTCTCAGCCTTTGGCGCTAAGTTGTGCTCTAATCAGCAAAACAACCCGAGGAAGATACGGAGCGCTCTAGTTAGGCACGTGGCAGAGAGCTGCTGGCTATGGCTCTCGCTGAGGGCCGCAGGTCCAGCTGGGAGTCGGTGCTCACCTTTGCTTACTCTGAACTACAAGGGCTAGAGGGGAACAGACAGAATAGTTCTTATTTCCCGAGGCAAACGGGCCTGACACAGGGGCTATCGAAAGGCAGCCACCTCTGAGCTATACAAACTGTTTGCTTTTCAGAAAACGCTTGTTCTCTAACGCAAAGAGTCTCTTTCTGGAGCTAAGAGTTCTGCTCTACTGCAGAGCTCAACCCACAGGTAACAACAGGGTGCTGATGTGCACTGTCCCAGCAGGGATCTCAGGTCTGCCGTCGATTCTCTAACATACACTAAGCCAATGCACTTCCCGGTCCAACACCTTCCCGTACCTTCAAAACAGTGAGGTCACAACTTTGAAAGCCAGCGACGAGCCCTAATTTTCTTGAGTACAGTCTACACGGTCACTTTAGAGGCATAGGGAAGAGGCTGAAATCAGAGGATTCAACTGGAACAGCCCAAGTGCTCTGTCCGCTCTGCATGCAGCTGCGAGCCTTATCTACGGTTTCAGTCACTTCCCCCTTCCTGCAGCCGTATCCCATTCTCTCCCTTTCACAAGGGTGGGAGAAATTCACCTAAAGCTCAAGTAAAGCAAAGGGAGAGGAACACGAGCCTCTCCACAGTTCAGGTCATGACCCTTGGCTCCGTCTTGATGAACCTCAGTTCAGCAAGGTGCTCTGATTTCCCGCTGAGATTACCTGTAACACACGCCACTCAGCACAACTCAAAGCAAGCAGGACAGGGGTGTGACAGTGAACACACAGGCTAAGGAGGAAGGGGAAACTAGTTAGTGTACTTAGGGCTGGTACCTACAGCAGAAAGGTTTGCCACAGCAAACAATGGTGTGCTCTAAACCAACCAGAATAAAGTCCTGCTGCCACAACTGAAGCAATTCTGTCCCGAGGCAGCAGCCTCTGGAAGATTTCACCTCATAAACTATGCTGCTCCTTCCAAGAAAAGCTATTCACTCAATTTACCAGCTCAGGACACACCTAGCTTCTGTAGTACAAGGGTGAAGGGATAACACGGATAAAGAATTTACACCTGCTGCTATGATTCTATTGAGCATACTACTTCCCTGACACCTACCTCGTACCTTATAAAAAGTTATTTTGATCCCCTTCTTTATAAATTTCTACCTCAAAGTACAATATCCCCCTACAACTGTGAGGCAGAAATAGACTCTCCAGATTTAATTTGGCATACTTGACACATGCACAGGTACACACATGCCAAGTACAGATCCTTGGTTTCTCCAGTCACTCCTCTTTGGGTCAGGTGTGGAAAAGGGAAGCCCATTTCTCTTTTCTTTCCAATCACGCCAACTCTATGACAAGACCCCACAACACTGAACAGAACTCACTTTCTTATACTTCGCCTGAGGGTGCAGGGACTTCTCCACAGCAGCCAGCCATTCTTGCTCCTTTGCAGAATCAAAGTAGAAAAAAGCCTCTGTGCTGAGGTCCAGCTCCTGGAACCTAAAAACCCAAGGCAACTTAGCACATCCCACCTCTCCCACAGATCACCCTCTTTCTACAGCAAGGTCCAATGTGAAACCCCTAGCAACAGCTCTTCTTGGAAGGGAATCTCCTTATTCCCATTTGCTAAAAAAAGCAGCAGAATTTCACCACAGTGCCTACTGCAATACACTCCAGCAACCATCTCTCTTTAGGTGGAGGACAACCAGAGAGCTCTGTGGATGCCTCAAGGAAAATCTGTTTTATTATGTCATGCCAGCCCCATTTAACCCAACACTCTGCCTCATCCAAATGGCTCTTTCCCCTCAGACAGCTCTTCTGAGACATAGCTCGCCTTGTGGAACCTCTGAGAACACGACAGGAACTTAAAACAAATACAGCCCACCAGTATCCAAGCAAGAGCAACAAGAAACCCAGCACCGTAAGTAAACACGAGGTCATTGCTACTCACCCGATGCAGTAGAAGTCTGGAGGCTCTGTATCGCACACCAGCCAGGGTTCCAAGCTGCTGTCTGGAGACTGCCCATTCACATTCCACGTTCCCACAAAAAATCTACAACACAAAAGCAGCTGAACTGTTAGAAAACACAGAAACAACCGCATCAGCCCAGTCTCTCCAGTGCACGCACAGCAGCATCCAGGCTGGGAGCAGACAGAACATGTGAGCTGTCTGTGCGCAGGGCCATGCCAACTATGGGGTAACTGACAATTCTTCTAGGCTTGGCTCATTTTCAGTGACACTCATCTCGGGGACTTTGCAGAATGCTACAAAACTAAAGACATTTCACTGCGGCCAGCAAACGTCTGGCTCTTTTAACATCATGTCATGTGGGGTAACACTGAGACAGTGTGGTGGCACAGCTGCCTTATCCTCTTTCTGCCCAACTGCTTCAGTCTTACTTGAGGGTCAAGAGATCTGACACACACAGGGGAAATGATGCGAAAGGAGAAGCTGCACCGCAGGCACTTAATGACTTCCAGTCCACACCGATCCTCGTTTAGCCACCCAAGCTGGCCACACATCAGCAGTTTTCAGATTTCAAACCTGGACTAGATTTGAGTTCACAGAAGAGATTAAACAGTTCTGTCCCTATGCACATGGCTCCTCAGTCACAGCTCTAACCTGAAGTTGTGAAGGTTGACATATGCCTTCTCTCTCTTGGCAAGCACATGTTTGATGAGGCCTTCTCTTTGTCCCGACTGAGTGCTGGGCAAAAACATTTTGCGCATAGTGTTGGTCACTTTTGGCTGGTCTTTTGATATACCTTCTCTCTCTCGGTGAAATCTAAGAAGGAAGCAAGAGCAGAATTAAAACTGGTTCTGCTGTCTAGGAAGAGAAGAAAAAAAAGGAACAGATTCACCACGTTACTTACTGCCTGTTTTGAGGCACAGGAGGAGGTGGAGGTTCCCGGCGAGATCCCGTTTGGTGGTTTTGCACGTTTCTTTTCTCTTCTAGGCTTAGAGTGCTGAAGTCATCCTCAAACCCCAGAGCGCCTATAATGAAAAAATTCAAGCGCAATGCCCTGAGAAACAATTTTAAACAGCTCAGATCAAGAAGGAAAAAATATAACTCCACAGAAAGTGAAGAACCAAATGATAATAGCAATATATCAACTCTGATGACTCAGGGAATGAGAGAAAGCGGTACTAACCACAAGTCAAGGCATGAGGGAGCTTAACATACACAAACCAAGGCACTAGGCAGAAGACAGCACTCAAGGCGGAATGAATGGTCCAGGGCAACAGAATCCAAGGACCAAGGCGTTTGATTTTGCGCAGGGTGATGTGAAGTGAGGAAATGGGGCAGAGGCCAGACTGCTGAGCGCAGGGTCAGACAGAGCTCCCCGTCCCCGACTGCCCCATCACTGTACAGACCACAGAGCGTACAAAGGTGACAGTCAGTTCAGTACCCGAAGAAGAGGCCTGCGATAGACCTGGGAGGTTCTTCTCCACCTGATGCCAGCTGGCCGAGTCCTTGGGTTCAGGAAGAGAAGCTTTCAGCTGGGCTGGGGGGGCGGGGGGGGGGGGATAAAAAAAAAAAATCAGCCCTATCAGAAACTGGTGGCAGTCAGAGGATTTCACAAACACAACTATAGCTCTGCTTACCTTCCTGTATGCTCTGCACTTCTGAAAGGAATCCTAAGCAACGCTCCTCATCAGGGATTTCAAAGAGCCGCTCCGCTGTCTCGTCACCTTGTATCCGGACCTTACAGCCTGCTTCAGGCAGAAACACAGACTCACAGAGTCAGTCAAGGCTGGTTCATCCATACGAGCCCTGAGAGTGACCAGGCTTTCTAGGTACCCTCTGAGCTCACCAGTGAAAGCCAACTTCCAGCTATTGCTTCCAAGGGAAACCTGCACCTGAGCTAGTTTCCCCGTGCTTCTGAGATCCTCCCCGCCCCACCCCACTTCGGGTATCATCAGTCATGTTCTCCTGGTTTTAGGAATACTTCTCCCTACTGCAATCTCACAGAGAAGAGCTCTGAAAGTAGTAAGAAAAAATTCTCGAAAGGGAAAGTAGAATTGGTGACTAGACAGAGCGTTGTCAATGCTGAAAAAGGCAGATAGTAACCTAGGCTCGAGTACAGGTCAAAGAAACAGAAGGGAGATGAGCATGGTTCAGAGTGCAGTGCAGGGCCTGGAGAAAAGATGTAAGGAGTTCAAGTTTGACCAATTGCCAGTACTTCAATCTGGGCACTTAACACTGTGTCTCTCATGACAGCTGACTACCTAAAGGAGCCAGACGACAACATTAGAGGAAGTACAATCCCTGCTTGATCAAAAGACAAACACAAAGTATGGAGGAAGATTAAGAAGGTAAGATAAAGCATGCATCAGTGCCCAACAGGCAGCCTGTTTCCTGAAAGGAGCTTTAGCTGTGTGACCGCAGTTATAAAACTTACTGTTTGTAGCTATATCAATCAGTAGAGTTTCTTCTGCCTCTGGAAAAGAGAAAAACAGGATCAAGAGAGTTCACACTGAATGCTGCAGTAATTGAGTACTCAAAAAAAGCATGCTGCCTGCTACTAGCCGCAAAAGAGTGCTAACAAAGGAACAAACAGCTTTAATTTACATCTGTACTATTAATAATGGCTCTGGCAGAAAGAATGGTCACATCTGGGCAGCCTGGACAGTCATTTCCCACAATCAAAGTGTCACAGGGGAGATTCCTAATATTTAGAGTTCTCACACACCTGGATGGTTTGTTCCACACCAGTTCAGCTACTTTGGGAAAGACCAACCTGAAAATGAACTTCAGAGTTTGTCTACACAGCAAAAATGATGGGCAGAACCACACTGAATTACATGGAAGGGTATAAGGTAATCCAGAAAAAGGTGCTTTTGTTCCTGAACACACATTGCCCCAGGGACATACACTGCTATTTAAGTTCTTCCAAGAAAAGGCCTAAAGCTCTTTCCCATTCCACAGGTGGCTGTTGGAACCCGACAGCTTGCCAGACCTTAGAGAAGTTTTGATCTAAACATGCAGGAATCAGAGTAAAGGTCCCAACTCTTGCCATTATGGAGAAGACAGAAAGACATCAGCAGACACCAAATTTCAGCCATTGCAGACGAGGGCTGAACATGCTGGCTCTGTATGATGCCAAGGCCACCACTCATCTGAACCAGCCAAGCTCCTCACAACAGTACGCTGACATGGAAAGACGACCCGCTTGGATGAGGAAGAAGCGGGATTCCATAAACTGTGAGTTTTAGTTTCACGGGGAAGCATTCAATCTATAGGGCGCTCAGCAGGCAGGTGAAGAAACACCACTAAATTTGGGTTT